TCCCGGTCCGAGACCAGCACCTGGAACGGTTCGGGCGCTTGCACTTGTACAATGTCGACATGCCGTTATCAAGCCGCGTACGTCGAAATCGACTACCACGCGCTCGTCACCTTCTACCGCAACAATAGAACCCAGCAAATCTTCAAGTGGCCCGGCCAGTCCCAGTGCCTAGTGGCCCGGATTGCTAAGATTGTGGCCAAGGAGCTGGATTATCAACAAGAACCCCCCCGGGAAAGACGCAGCGATGAAGTACAGTGCTCTATGTCCAGCAGACACGTATGGCCATCAAGCGACGGTCTGTTCTCTCTCTTGACATATTAAGACTAATCTCAGCCATGTACATGGTTTATACTTCATTATCTCCAAACCTCATACAAAGGACTCTTAGCATTGCTTTCTCCCCCTTGGTTGATCATGTTGTCTCAGGCACACGCGAGTCCAAACCCCTGATCGCTCCCAGGTGCCATGGTTTCCACACTCACTCCTACGGAGAGTTTCCATGAAAGAGGATCCAATATTCAATGCACTGAACTTGGATCTGATTCTGTAGGTGCTCAGCACCTGGTTGTGATGGTCGACTCGCGACCATGAGCTGTCCTACCGGCTGGCATCCGGTCGTGGAGGGCATTTTGGAGTCTGACGTAGGATGCCAGTCATTGGGCTTTCTGATTTGCGGTTTCAATCTCGTGGTGACCTCGTGTGATACGAGTAAGTGGTGAGTTATGTCACCATCAAGCGACACTTGACTCTTCGTCGGAAAAAGGCATTTCCCCAACGCATTCATAGTAGACGCCCATCCTACCACTAACTTAGAGTAGCAGCACACGGTGAGTGCACGTGGCTGGACATCGTGATCATCTTGAACCCGACCGGCCCGAACTGAGCCATGAGGTTTTGAAGGCCCTAGCTCTTGAAATCGAGACAGCCCACTTTTGATATCTGCATTATGTTTATCATCGATTACCGGAACCGATGATACACGAAACCCCTAACTCAGCACCGTCATCGCCGAGTCCTGCTCGGGCTCATAGTTCACGAACGAGACCAGCCGCGACAGCACCGCGAACTCCAGCTTCAACTTGATGGTGTAGAAGAAGGTCTTGAGCGAGACCTGGATGATGTAGATGTTGAGGTACTCGAGCACGAGCAGGGAGATGTCCATGAGGATGATGGCGGCGTTGATGCCGAGCAGCTGGTACATGATGAGGGAGCGGCGCTTGCTGCGGTTGGGGTAGAGGGTGAGCAGGCGGACGGTCTGGACGAGGAAGATGGCGGAGATGATGACCTCCTGCGTGAAGAAGACGGTCATCTGCAGCTTCTCCCAGATGGTGTAGATGCGCATGTAGCGGCTGCCGGAGTCGTCGGCGATGACGCCGTACGAGAACACAATGTGCGGGATCTGGATGATGACCGCGTCGACGACGATCATCGTCAGCACGCTGCGCAGGACGGCCGCGTTGCGCACCACCAGGTGCAGCCGCGAGTACAGCACCACCGACTGGCCCGTCACCATGATCGCCCACCCAAAGGTCGTCAGCGTGACCGACAGGTAGATCGGCGCCAGCTTGAAGTATTTGAGGAGGAGGCCCAGCGACTGCGGCACGATGCCCAGGCTGGTCGAGATCAGGAGACTCCAGAAGTAGAGCCCCGCGTAGTGGTGGAAGGTCACGAAGATGAGCAGCACGAGTTCGAGGGCGCTGTACAGGGCGCAGCCGAGCAGGGTCGCCAGCGTCGCTTGGAGGGCTAAGCTGTCGCCGGTGTAATGGCCGGCGATGCCCTGGATGGGCGCGGAGTCATTGGCCATGGTTTGCGAGGGGGGGAGGGTCAGGCAGAGACGCGGAGCTCGAACCTCTTCTGCTTGCGACTGTCCATTCTCAAGGCAACTTGATTGCTGCGGTCAGTTCAGCAGCATGGTAATATGGCAAGTAATAAGGAAATGAGGTGAACCGACGAGAGAAGCAAACGTGCGGAGGTTGAAGAAGCAGAAATTCACCGGGAGGGACTCTCCGCTCAGGTGACCAGCCCACGATCCATGGACCGGCCAGCCAGCCAGCTCGGAAAAGACGTGCGTGCAACACTCGCCCTTCTTCCTAGAATTGTGGGGTGCGTTTGACAAAAATCCGGGGCAAAGGAACCTAACCCTGCCAGGGCCAGCCTAATCTTTTAGCTTGCTTTTTGCCGACCGATCGGCGCCGATCCATACCTGTCCAGTCACCTTCCTTTCTGCAGCCCCCGATCTCCCTCCGCGTTCGGACTCCCACAGCTACACTCAGGGCTGTCTGTTTGACAGCCCAATTTTGGACTTGCTGGGACAGCAAACAAGTGGTCACCAGAGCCCAACGTGAATCTGACAGCGCAGCATTTCGGAGGGAGGCTGCAGCACAAGAGTCAAGCGATGCTTGGCAAACCATAGCCCTGAGCTTCATCCACAGAATTGACTTCTGATGAGCACTCTGATCAAAGTTAGTTTCTGTCTTACAGTCCAGTCCTATACCTCTATCTCTACCACTTCCGCAGAGGATTAAGATTCTAGTCGATCCATCCTGCTGCTGCTGCTGCTGCTACTCCTCTTCTTTTGGAGGACTCAAACTTTTTGTACGCCAAGCATTATATAATCACTGTTCCACAGAAGTGGTTAGCCGTATTTTCGGGCGGCCATTCTCCCGCCTGATATACAAGGCACCAACTACGTGCAAGCATGAGCCAGCCTACTCACACAACAGAGTGGCAATGTAATGTGAAATCACCGATTACCATCCGTAGAGATATGTTGCATACCTATGTAGACCACGAAGCCTACTATTCCGTCTCTACTTAGAGACACTCACAAAATATCCATCCGTGGCAACGACCTCAATTAACTTCAGGCCTCCCGATGGTCTATCCCTACTGAGCAGAAGGAAGCGAGCCAAGAATCCACTGCAGCAACCCGAGCACTTCCTTTACCATTTCAGTGGCAAAATCAATGCAGCAGCCCCAGCACCACCGAAATTGACCAACGACAGCATCGCACACCGGCCGTGGCCCGTCAACTGTCCTGTCGATCATCTCATGGATCCCATGGACCGATAGCTCGCTGTCCTGTCAACAATTCCGCAGTATCATTCTCCCGCACTAGAAAGATGTCCTCGTGGCGGACTCCAAACTTGTCTACCAGGTACACACCCGGCTCGGAGGTGAAGGTCATCCCCGCTCGGAGGACCGTCTCGTGGTTGCCCTTATTGAGGTATGGACTCTCATGCGCTGTGGATGTTAGTCTCCGCACGCTGCATGCGGGGAAGTTGAACTTACCCTTAATTCCAATCCCGTGTCCGACGCGGTGGGTAAACGCATCGCCGTATCCCGCTGCACTGATAACAGTACGAGCGGCAATATCCACACTAGCCGCCGTGGCATCGACGATAAATCGGTCAATAGACTTGGTTTGCGCCTCGAAAACGATATCCCAGACCTTTTACGGTTAGTGTCATGCAACCAAAAGAGTAAGGAAGAGGGAAGGGAGTTTACATCGAGCTTCTCGTTCATCCACTCTGGTACAGCAGCATCAGATGCCGGTCGTTCTAGGAACGGAGGAAAGAATGTGCGACAGATGTCAGACGAATAACCCATCAGATGGGCCCTGAGAGCGTTAGACTATTTCCCCGCACCGCGGAGCTGAATACGAACCCAACATCTATCAAGACAAACGTCTCCGCGTCCAACACCTTTGACCCATTGGTTCCACCATGAGGATTCGCGGCATTCTCATCTATCGCAGTCATCAGCCCAAGTCCATGTTTCCATTGGTGTTCTTGATTCCATACCAAACAACACAATGTCGAAAAATGGTTCCAATCCCGCGGAAAGGAGAGTCTTATCCAATACGCGTGCGATCTCGCTTTCGGTCAGCCCAGGAGACAGACCTGTGTCGACTTAGCATTTGGATTCTGTGGCAAGATTGAATCCACTCTCCTACTCACACTTTCTCATTTGCCGGACCGCCTCCACTGTTCCTGTATTCACTGCTCTCAGGATTCCAACCTCCTTCTCCGATTTGATCTGTCGCACCCGTTCCACCTCGCCCTGGAGACCAACCACGTGGAACCCGGCCCGACCGAGCCCACGCTGAATGAAATCCCGCATCTCTTCATCGACCATTAGACGCGGTGGGTCCCGAAGGCGCGAGAATGTCTCGGCAGTTTTGAGCGTCTCATACGGATTCCAGTGCTCTTCCCACGGGATGATATCGATCGCCTCAGCGAATGGCATCCCTAGGAGTCGTGCCCGCTCCGCTTCGAACGACGGACAGAGGAACGACGACTTGGCTTTGACTTTGCCCGAGGGAAGATGCTCTGGTTGCACCACGAGCAGGAAAGGGCGCTCTTCTGGCTTTAAGGTTTTAGCGGACCGCAAACACATGGCAGCATTCGAGATTCATGGCACACACCTCCCAAACTTCCCATTCAGGTTGGCTGATGTTAGCGTAGTATTTGAATGTGTATCCCGGCTCAACCACAAAAGCATCCACACCGTCGGCCACGAGGGCCTGCGCCAAGCGGTCGCGGCGATCTTCGAAGTCCTCCACCGTCATTGGAACAGCGGTGTCAAGGAAGGGGTGTCCCGTTCCACGGAAATTGTCAATCGAGCATGCCTCAAAGTCGTCCAGTGAGGTGTTGCGCGCGGCTGGTTGCATTTGTATCATACCAGTGAAGCTCTATTTGTCGGTCAGAACGAATACTTGGGGCCATACTGGGGATCGTACCCGGAAGAGGGAATAGGTGCCCATCCCAACAAGAATGAGACCTATTACTGCACGCAGCCATCGTTGACGATGTAGCGGCTTCGCTCGTTCCCGCTCCAGGATATAATGATTTAAGAAATACTTCTCCATTCTTGTGATGCGTGGGGGTGAAGTGGCAGGAAGATGCGACCTTAAGTAGGAGCGGGGAAGATGGCCGATTTCCCCGCACGGCTAGTCTCCTCCAACCAGAGGCCTAGTCGAGCTTATCAATAACCTGAAGTGTTCATCCGCAGCTCAGCACCGATAAACAACGGTAACAATTCTTAACCATTAGCGCTGCACTGATACAGGTCACGTCGGACGCGATTTGGCCGACGCCAGATTCCAACCAATCTTCCAATGCTCCGCCTTTCACTGGTTCAGCTTCGACTGGTGTTTTTTCATCCCTCTCACATTCACGAGCAATCTAGGTTCAGATGAAACGTGACCTTGGGAATGCTCCTGAAAATTGTCAATAGCCTGCAGTTCTTGCTTCATCCAGTTGAGAGACACGTCTCCAAGCAGGTAATCTGTCATAGACAGTGCCTGTTGAACTCCTGTTCGTCTACCGATCTCTTTCAAGCGACTCGTAATCCAGGCTTTCATGCGGGGAGTGCTTCCAACACAGTCGGATGCAACAAACAACGTCCAGTGTAGACGGATCAATCCGGATGCCTCAGTTAGCGATTTGTTAGAGCGAGCCAAACCGAAGAAGTAAGGGACACCGGCGCATACTTCCTCCGCTAGCTGACGGGTAACTGCAGCGCTCTGGCGAATGGTCGCCCAGAGTTCGCTGTTGTTGCCTCTCGATCGCCTCCACAGTCGCTCGCAGACAGCAGCGATCACCTCATGAACAACGATCCGCGTCAATCTATACGTGTTCCACATGACAGCGATGCCAATCTCAGGATACTCATGGTAGTAATCGCCGTAAATATGCTGCTCAGAAGGCTTGTTATCACCGGCGACTGCGGCGTCGAGCACCGAGTACTGCCAGCCTGGACCGACGGTCAAGGCCCACGCAGCCAGCATAGCATCCAATTGCAGTGCCTCCTGAATAGTTTCATGGGGCGTCTTCGCTTTACGACCCACTTGTGCGCACAGCTCGCTGACCTTGGCCAGATACTTGAAGAATGGTTCCATAGAGGACTGGTGTGGTCCCCGCATGGCGACTGTCTCCTCTGACAAGGCCATCAGCCATGCTGGAGTCGCCTTCTTCCGGTATAGATTACTCAAAGTCTGCACGGTCGGTTAATCATCAAGATCATAATCAGTAGCTCACGAAAGGAATGGACTCACGTATTGGCCGCGCAACTGTGTGAATAGTTCGAGTCCAACCGGGCTTCGTAGCTGCTCTGAGCCGCGTAGCTTAATAAGAGCCATCGCACCTTCAATGTGATCTGCCCAGCGCACCATCAAAGAATGGCTCTGGCAGGTTATGATCTGGAATCAAGGTCAGCAAACGACAATATGGAATCGATACAAAGCTGGGGGGCGCACCTCGTACAGTCCCAAGACAAGAACCGCGGCGAGTGTGGCATCAGACTTGGCAGTGATGGTATCTTGCAGGGCAGTATTTGTCTCCGATAGCGCGATAGTATACTGCTGGCGTGCCGCGCGGATAAGGTGAGGACTGCCGTGGATGTTACCTAGTGCTGCCAGTCCCATCGCATTTATGGACGCCATAACAGCAGGACTCGGCTCCTGCTGCAATAGGGAGGGTAAGAACGACAGGTGCCCAGACCCCGAACGAGGAGCCGATCCGACATGATAGGTCAGGACATAAGTAATGCCTTGATCGACTATTGGTACAGACACGGGCTGCAGTGCGAAAAGATCATAAGCACTTTCGTCGGAAGATGATGCAACCTCGGACGCATTTGCCTGAGGGGATACGTTGTATTCTGAATGCGGTTCTGGACGACGATTGGCCTTCTCGACCACTTCGGCAGTCTGATCGTGGAAACTAAGAGCGGCTACATCGCGGTATCCAGTGCAGATTCGCTTGGCTCGCAGACAGGAGGAACACGAGGGGCGTTTCTGATCGCACTACAACTCTCTTAGCTTCGGTAGAGGGGATGGTTGTGGAAGGTATACCTTGAGCCGGCGGGCCCGACACGAGGAACAGGCTGCACTGGGTTTCCCACGGTAGACCATGGCGGGACCGAAATGGTTTCCTAAGTGAGCAATCCGCACGACAACCTGTTAGAGAGACTTGGCAAGTCTTATACCCGATGCAAGCTCAGGTAGATGGAGGACGGCTGACAAAAGAAGATGAAGGGATGCGAGGATCGAGAGAAAAAGAGTCGACGTGCCCGTGATCGCCGCTCTCCCCGCCGCGGAGCCGTGGGCAGTCAGCGCTCCTTCCAAATTGGAGATATCGAAGTGGTTTCCGAATTAGGACTAGTGCTGACTTTGGGACACGACAAACGCTAAGCTTTTCTTGGATTGCAAGGGGGCGCGCCCTTCCACTCTTGCACTCAGCCTTGTAAACAACGGGCTTGATTGTAGTCTACATTCTACTCCGTACACTGACCGGACATGCCGACTTTGGCTAGGCAGCCATCGTGCTGGTTTCTATCTACCCTTAAACTTCTGAGCCCTTGTCAAGTCCCATGAACTAATTCTGACCAATCACATCTACGGAGGTCCTGAGATGAACGTGGCTGTGATTTACACTTTGCTGGCGAACCAAATTGTGGCTGATCAAGCTTTGTAGCCAGCAAAACTCCTGCACGATGATGAACTGGTAGCGAGCTTTCAGGTGTCCAAGCCACACAGCCCTGAGTGTAGATGAAGCCCCCGCAATGCCTTCCCGACACGGTAGTTGCGAGTGATGACAAGGGGCTGATACTTCAGCGGGCTGCCTCAAGTGAGTTGTTCCTGGACATGATAAAGCTGCTGGCCGTCGAATTTAAATACCACCTCTGATCACAATCGATTATAGCCCAGACTTCGAGCCAGACCTTCCTTTGCAGCACATTCTCCACGAATCTATTTCGTTGTCAAGCACGATGAACGCCATCTTTGTAGCCGATCTGGTCCTTTACCTGGTGCTCTTGCCTTTGGTCTTTTACATTGTCTGGAAGCGTCGCTCAGGTGGACTTCTGGCATGGTACTATCTGAGTGTCTTCTGCATCGCTCGTATCGTGGGAGGTGCGATAGGAGTACACGATAGCCAGAGCCTCGCCGCGAATATCATCGTGGGCGTGGGCATTTCGCCGCTCATCCTAGCAATCGATGGCCTCCTCCATGAAGCGTGAGCATTCCTCATCCTATCCACGAATCAGTCATGAGCTCACAGTCTCTCGAAACAGACGAGCCTACCGCAACCCCGGAAAACAATGGGTCGGCTGGGTGGTGGTCATTTTGGCCACAGGGTTGATGGCAACAGCTCTTGCGCTTGCCATTGTGGGTGCCTTAAACATCTATGAAGACCATCCCAAGCCGGACAGTCTCGACCACTGGAAGACAGGCACCGGATTGATGGTGTTGGTATGGGGGTTGGAGGTGATCTGGGCGTGTTTCCTGCTCTTGCCATCGCAGCGACGGAAGGATGCCTTCTCGTTTCATGCTGGTACTACGGTGTGTATCTCTTCTCGCTTGGGTGGATTCCTTACTAATGCGTGGCGGTTGTTAGCTTCTACAAGGCTCTTCTCTGGCGCTGTTCTTCGTGGGAATTCGGGCTATATATCAGTTGATCGCGGTGTGCACGCAGCGGAAAGACCTCAGCTCTAGCACTGGAAGCTTGGCAGTGCGGGTGCTTTTGGTCTTTTTGCCAGAAGCGTTTACAGTCTTCTCGATGGTGCTTGTAGGTGTGCAGACGAGAAACGTCAGGAAAGGTTGAACATGCCACGCTTCCGCGAACAAAGATAGTATTATTTTTTCTGTGATTCACTTGCTTGTCTGCGGCATGCGTCTGCTTTTTTGTCGATAATGTACCATATTGATTTTATAGACTTGCATGTTCCCAAATCCAATTGATCTAATCCACTCCTGTCTTAACTTGCAGGTGACTCCCGCTGGTCAAAATTGTTCTTCACCCCCCTAGTGGGTCCAGGGCCCTTATTTACACTTTTTCAAATACCTTTTCCAATATAGCCTGCTCACATAGCTTTTTAAGAATATCCGTGTGCCTTCTATAATGGTTCTCAAGTACATTCTAAGCATCTTTGAGTCAATCATATACACAATTCGAAAAGCAAGTTTGCATGTATAGACCTGCAGCCTGAATCTTCAGGCCCTCAACAATCTTCCTTCAGAAAAGCTCCAGTCATGTGACTACTTTCAGAAGCCAATCAAACCACTTGTTTAACGACAGATGCATATCATGGATCACCATTGGGCACCCTGGAACAAGCCTTCCTCGAGTTGCAAAGCTACCTGAAAACGCTTCACGAGTATGATTTACGACTGTAGACGCTTGTCTGGAAGTGACAGACGGAACCTTCACACTGTCAGTAAGGCTTGCTGCAGTAAGGCACACTATGACGATGAGCAGGTACCCTACCACCGTGAAAGTGTAATCCCTTCCCCGACCGCCGTTCACTTTCTTGCAAGATAGTCCCTGGAGAGATATCGGTCTGTAGGCACAACCCAAATTTCCACTCCACGTGGTCGCGGATCGTCCGTCCGACCACCGAGGAGGTTACCGGATTGGGCAAGCGGTGAGTTAGGCGGGGGCCCGCTGACTGCGAGCGCTGCGCCCCAACAGACGGGCTGTCCGGCCTCCAGGCTGAAACGTTCAATTTGCTTGCCGGGACTACCTAAGACTAAGCTTCAGCTTCCACGGCTTGGGTGTCAGCACAGACCCCACTGTTGCTGCGATGAGGCTGACAACACGACTGGCGCCGACCAGCCAATCAGGTGCCGGCCCCTTCGGTATCGCCTTGATTACCCCAATCGGTAATCAGTCAGGGAACTGAGCCTCGACAACAATAGGAGTAATGACTGTGATATACGAGGGGTCTGTAGACTGATCATTCGAATATATAAGTGTCTATCCAGGGGCTACAAGTACATGGATAGTCCATCAACAGAACAACCTCCTAATTCTTCTGCATAGACAGCAGGCCTCTCTTCACAAGCACCTCCACTGGTCCAAATTCTGCCTTAATCATATACTTCACCTCGATCAGGATATAACGACATCAATCATCCTACCTATCCTTTGACATCATGTGTCTCTTGCTCCCTTTTCTCCTCAAGAAGCGGTCCAGTTCCCGCAGCCAAGAAACAACACGCGCGGGTCCACGACTAGTCAAATCTGAGCGCGAAATGACATCAAACTATAACCCCGGACAGGAGGTTCCACTATCCTCTTCGGACAGGCGGAGCTAGCACTAAGGTGAGCGATTCTCTGGCAGATCCCGAGTCCGTAAAGCTAATGATGGAAATAGGCTCCGTCTGACTTCACACCGTCGCAGTGAAATGTACAGTGGGTGAAGCGAAGTCGGGGGGGAGGAAAGTCTAGGACAGAAAATGACACGGAATTTGATTTACACAACAACAGCGTTTGAATATAGATCCTGAATTCTCATACTTTCTGTGATACATTCAATTATCTGTAAAAGCAGTGCCCGCCCCTAGATTACAATGTAAAAGCACATCATCATCATTGTATACACCGATTCAAACACCAGACCACGATCAAAAAACCCAGTCAGTGGACAACACCTACAAAGCAGCGAAAGTTCCTCCCCTCAACGCCAACTGCTGCCCCAACACCGCCTCCACAATCTCATCCTGGCTCCGCCACTCCATCCCCAGCACCCGCTCCGCCGTCCGCGTATCCACTGTCCACCCCCGCTCAAACGGCCCCTGCAACCGACACCCCACCTCGGGATACTGCCGGCGCACCAGCTCGGCCACCCGCTCCCACGACCCCGGCGTCGGCGCCGACAGCAGCACCTCCGTGCCCGCGGTCATCTCCCGCTGCAGCGCCCGCACATGCGCCGCCGCCACGTCCCGCACGTCGACCCACGCGTTCGCCATCCCGGGCCTCTCGGCCTGCAGCGTGTTCCAGAAGAACGCGTTCATGCCCCCGATCTCCTCCGGGGTCGTCTGGATGAGACTCTCGCCCAGCACGAAGGTCGGGTGGAAGGTGATCAGCGTGAATGTCGGGTGTTGGGTGGCCAGGAAGCGGCGGGTCGCGTCGTGGGCGGCGACCTTGGAGGCGCTGTATTTCAGGCCGTGGCCTGAGAAGCCTTCGGGGATCGGGTCGGGGAGGTCGATTGCGATGGTTTCGTGGGTGTTGTCTGCTTTTGTTAGCTCTTGCTTTCTTCTAGCATAGGACTGGATGGGGCGGGGGAGGTTGATGATTTGGGTAGCGAGTGGTGGGAGGGGATGGGACGGACGTACCCGTCACGTAAACCTCCTTCTCGCGGAGGGCATTCAGGGGTGTTAACGCCAGAACGGAAGACATCACCACCACTTTCTGGATCTGCGGGAACGCTAACGCGGAGTAAAGGATCGACTCGGTGCCCTTGACGGCCGGGTCGATGTAGTCGGCTTGCAGGTCGGACCCGCGACCGGGCATGGGCGAGGCCAGGTGGAAGATGTGGTCGACGCCATCGAGGGCGGGCGTGAAGGCGTCACGCGGGGTGATGTCGGGGATGATGCAGGTCTCGATCTGCTGGGGGCTGAAGTCGGGGTAGCGGGCGCGCAGCGGGGCCTCCTGGGAGGCGTGGCGGATGGACAGGCGCACCCGGTATCCCGCCCGCAGGGTCGCGAGGACGACCTGGGAGCCGATGAAGCCGGTCGCGCCGGTGATGAAGACGAGGGGGGCGGTCATTTCGATAGAAGATTGATGATGGTGAGTTTTGAGTCGGCTAGTGGAGCTTTCCAGCGATGAGTGCGATTAAATACCACCATCTTCGTGGTGTTGAAGCCAACTGAAGTCTTTGTGCGACCTATTCACATCAGTTCACTAATCATCCCGCTGAGGCGGGGTGACCCCGACGGACTGGTTCACTAATCACTAAGTCCGCACCAATCAGCACATCCCCAACCACATTGATCGGTGTCGATCACTAATCTTACATATCAGTTTGAATACCAACAATAAACTCAAGAGTCGTCAGCCACGGAAACCCCCATCAGATAAAAGACCCCATCTCACATAACAGTGAGCAGCTTATCGATCCCCCAGCCAGATCTCATCCTCCAACCGAACTATTTCATCACCCGAATTATACCTATCTATACTCAAACAGCCCAAATTGAGCCAAACAACCCACTTTCAAGACCCAGCCAGCATCGACTACAAAAATGCCTCTTTGGCAGATCTACTCTCCCCCCGGGACATTCACCCCGGAAGCGAAATCCAGCTTCGCGACCGACATTACACAGCGATACACTGCCATCGGCCTCCCCGCCTTTTACGTGGTCATCCAATTCCACGAACTCAACCCGGAGGATGTCTACGTGGGAGGCCGAGTGGCTACCAACGCCGAGAGGCCCTTCGTACGGGCGGTCGTCACGCACATCGCGGTCGTGCAGCCGGACAGCGACGCCGCGTATCGTCGCACGACTAATTGGCTTGACAAGGTCTTCAAGGAGCACGTGCTGGATAGAGGGTTTGATCTGGAGTACCACGTGGAGGAGACGGAGCGGCGGCTGTGGAAGATCAACGGGATGATTCCGCCTCCGTACCGGAGTGAGGAGGAGAAGATGTGGGCGAGGGAGAACCGGGCGGTGGAGTATGAGGGGGCGTTTGCTGAGGGGGGAGAGGGGAACGCGGGCGGGAAGGCAGCGCTTTAGTTAGTGCCAAGGCTTGGTTTTCTTGGGGTTGATGGATGTGGTTAGGTTCCAATAGGATGGGTTTATGGTATGCTATGGATTATTCCGTGGATGAAAGAGTGCAATGTTTTATATTAGTGTCTCTATCGATGATCAACTCTCATTCATGCAGTCATGGTTTATCGTAATCGTTCCCCTGTACGTAGTCTAATCACTTGCGGAAAGGCACCGGCTCGGGCAAGGTGGCAGGAGTGTCGTTGCGAGCCCGCCACTGGATCAGATGATCGAAGGAAGGCGCATACTCGACACGAGGGGTGAAGGGCTCGAAGTCCCAGAGATAGCCGAGAGTGCGCAGGATCGACGAGGCGGAGTACGACACAGTTTCGCCCTCAACGTCTGTACCCTTCTGCTCGACGTAGCCCTTGCCCACCCACGGGGAGATTAACAAGGTCGGAATACGGCCGCCCAGGCGGTTGAAGGGGAAGGTGTATTCCTCGCCGCTAGGAGTGGTAGCGGTGTAGGTCAGGTTGTCTGGCGCAGGAGCCAGAGGAGGAGGCACATGGTCGTGGAAGCCACCGGTCTCGTCGAAACTAAGGATGAACAACGTGTCTGACCACTGTGGGCCATTGCGCAGGGCCTCGTAGACCTTCTTGATCAGCTTCTCTCCATCTGAGATGAGTCCGCTGGGGTGCATCGAGTTGGTGCCCACGCCGCAGCAGGATGGGTTCAGGTACGTGAACTCGGCGAGATCACCCGCCGCTGCGTCAGTATAGAACTGCTCCAAGGGCTGGACCTGGTTGGTGCGGTTGGCAGTGTAGATCCAGTCGTAGAACTCGGCATCCGGACCCGTGCCGCCCGCGGTATCGTAGTAGTTGATCCAGGTGTGATTTGTCTCACTCAGCTGCTGGAAGATGGATCGCTGCGGGAAAGCGTGTACGGTGAAAGCATCATCATTGCTCCCGTGGCCGTAGGAGGTTCCCGAGGTCAAAGCCGCCCGGTTCGGATCGGTAGGCTGCACACGAGTTAGCATTGCTGTATTACATATGCCGCATTGGATGACTTACACCTGGGATATCGGAGTGCCAGTGATTGAAAACAACATAGTTCTGCACTAGCTGGGTGAGAACTGGCACCTGGTCTTCGGTGTAGTAGTTCATAACCTGGGTGGACAGCTGGGTGCGGTTGGCTTTGCCACCGTATATCCGCAATTGCTCGTGCACAAAGCCCTGTTGGCTAGGAGTCAATGCGCCCGAGGCGATCGCCTCATTGTCCGGCGTGAACGTCCCGTAGAACTCGATGTTATTGCCGTACACCGCGTGGTCAGGGTCGTCGGTGACCGAGTCATAGTCCCACGCCGCGCTGCAAACAGTGCCCTCGGCTGGGTTGCTCACGTTGTAAGGGTTGCAGAAGGGACCGTTGTTGATGGGGTTCTCGAGTCCCTTGATCGTCTGTCCACCAAGAAGGTTGTCGACGGAGCGGTTCTCCATCACCAGTACCACGACATTCTTAACCTTGTCTTTGAGGTTGCTGATGGATGAGTGCGAGTGGGCGTGCCGTGAGGAGGCACCGGGCAGGGCCGAGGCAGCAGCCGCAAAAGCCAGAAGGCCGACAAGGGCACTAAAATGCATGATATGTAATGTCTAATGGTGACAGTGACAGTATGATCAACATGAAGGAATATGTCTTGCTATTTATCCTCGAAGGCAACCCGTCGCGGGTTGAGGAATCGCAGCTGTCCCTCCATGATTCTCCCACGTGCCTGCCTGGAATGCATGGATGGAGAAGGCCTCATTGCACCTGCATCCTCCGACGGACTATCGTACCCATCTGCATCGCGCAGAGCGGACAGAATCCGGGTATCTGGAGAGTGTCAATCCCGTTGACAGACGGTCCTGACACCAATGGGAGAATTGCTGATGACCACGAGAATGGAAAGTAGAGACTCCGGCCGTTGTCCCTGGAGATCCCTGCCTTTTCGATGCAGGAGATCGGCAAGCCCGTGGGCCTCCCAAGAATGCGTATTGGCCGGTTGGAGCAATCCCGGCTGGATGCATGTTGCTAACAAATGGACTACATTCAGATGCCAAGATAATGTTCAAGAAATGCAGAAGAGAAGCTTGAATCAAAAGGGCAAGTCTGCGTGGATGTGGAGAAAGAGCCGGCGGGAAATGGCCGATGTGACACTATAATGGGGTCGCGTCAAACCAATCTTTTTCACGTCAAATACCACCATGCAGCCTCTCAATTTTGGATTTGTCCGTTGCTGTCTCCCACCAAATATGTGATGTGGGTTAAGTATTCTTGAAGATTCTAGAGCTGTGTGGCCCCGATACTGGAGAATTGTTGTCATCTTGCAAGGAATGTAACTTAACTTACCTCGGCTGAGCAATCCGTCTAAATAATTGGTAGGTTACCCCGCCCTGCACTCAATATTGTGAACAGCGCAACAAACTCAACGTTTACGGGTTACACACTTTTCAATAAACCTCAGGAACAAAAATTACATTGATAATCATTACAGATCCACTTCTCCAAAGTCGCTTTCCTCACTCGCATACATCTTTCTCGCCAGACATGAAACATGCACCAAGACGGACGCTTATTCAAAAGCCAACTGCTGGTCTATCACATCGCTCACTTGTTCTTCCATTCCCTTCCATGTCAACCCCAGCTCTCTCTCGGCCTTTGATGTGTCGAGCACATAGCTTGGTCCTTCCTGGGCCTGGATACCGATGGGCAGATCGGGATAATGTTGACGAACAAAAGCCTCAACATCTGCCCATGATCTCGGTGGTGCGGCCAACAAAAATGACTGCAGTCCCTGTATAGAGCTATCCAAAACCTTTACATGCGCAGCAGAAACGTCGTGAACATGAACACCCCGGTACTGAGTGGCGAATAGCTTCCCCGTTGTGATTGCCTGGTACAGCATGCCACAAGTGCCGCCCAGCTGATCGGCTGATTCCTGTGCGTGATTGTGGCCGAAGACAAAGACCGGATGCAGAGTAACCACTTCAAATTTGGGATGCTGGTCACGCACAAAGTCCAGCGTCGCTTTGTAAGACGCGATCTTGCTGGCGTGATACTGATCCAATGGGTTCCACGAAGCAACTCGGGCTGGGTCGACATCTTCAACCTCCGTCGTTTCTACCACAAAACGTGTCAGTGGGACTAGTGCTCGAGACATTTCATCGGAAGAGAGCCATACCTTTCACAATCAATCCATCTCTAGTTGGCCCCAACGGAATGATTGACAACGCCGAGGCAGTCACGACAACTTTCTTGATGCTTGGCACCTTGAGCGCGGAATGCAGGATCGAAACAGTTCCTCGTACAGCAGGGCTTAAGAGATCATCCCCGGCACCAGGCAATGGAGAGGCCAGGTGCAAAGCATAATCCGCTCCCTGTAGTGGCTCGTCGAAGCATCCATCAATTGTCAAGTCGGGAACGACAGCGAACTCTAACTCCTTTGCATAGCGGTCATAAATCCGCTCGAGCTTGGTCGCCTGCTCGGCACGACGGACGACCAAGCGCACGCGATAGCCAGCTTTCAGTACATCCCAGACCACCTGGGAGCCGATGAAACCGGTAGCACCGGTAATCAGAACAAGAGACATATTCTAAGACGAGGCAAGGAATTTAAGTGAATTGAATTGAATCGATGTAGATAGGTCTGAAGCAACTACTTCCCATTGCCGGTCTACGAGCCTGTTATACCACAACTATACCTCCAGGGCTGACAAATGGACGGGCGAGTTTCTTTGTATACCAGTAGACAAGATCTGAGAGGGATTAGTGATCAGTACCTCGGCTTCCGGTACATCTGATTTGATTGGCTCCAAGCAAGAGTAAAAGGCATTCTAACTCCAGTCATCGATGGCAGTTTACGAGTTATAGCCAAATACTATACGAGCCCTACGAGGATACTGCTGTCGGTGAGGCATGTTTGAAGATTTGGTAGAGGTGATTAACCTATATCTTGAATTCATGACGTCATTCATGGCTGCCTCGGTCTCGATCAACATTGCTCTAGTATATTCAAGTGGCAAGCGTGAGAGGATTATCATCAATAAGCCTCTCAATTACATTCTAGAAGATTTGCATGATTTATATTAGAGAAGCGTCTTAGTTATACATCTATGTGTAATTATGGCAACGAATCTTTGAGGCCGGTGAACCTCAACAGATTCCCGGTAAACCCGCTCGAATATATACATTAATACATAGCAGGCCAAGGGGGTCTGTATAGAGCCTTTTCTACTGTTAATAATAGTAGTATTTAGTTATAAAGAGTGATTATTGGTTATCATACAGTTGTAATACAGTTACAATATAGTTATAGTATAGTTAGAATACAGTTGTAGTAGTAAAAAATAGTCTTAAAATAATAAATACTATTATATAATAAAAAGAGTATATTACAAAACTGTATATAACTAGTATTAAAAGTGGATTACTTAATAATTAATTTTAATACTAATAGTTACTTTAAACATTATAGAAGTTTCTTATAGTTTATTTTTATATTAGATTAGTTATCTCTCTATTCTTTAACTATAGGCTAAGAAGTAATAACAGTACTATTAAGATTTTTAAGTATATAAAATAATATTTTAAAATATAAAAATAATAGAAATCTTTATAATATTTTATATAAAGTTAATATTCTATATATACTGTGTTAAAACTGTTGAGGTTAAAAAAGTACAAGCAGACTTTTATAAAAAATCTAATATAAATATTTTTTTAATATTAGAATTAGGACTTATTAGAGCCTATTTACTTAAATATTTAAAATAAGAAAATACTAATAAAAAATCTTTTCGAATTACTTGTAAAAGTTTTATAAGAAAAAATACAGAATATTAATAACTAAGATAGTATATAATTCTATAAAAAAAATAGAATAGAATAGAATAATATTAAATAAATAATCAACTATAAAATAGATAGGAACTAATAAACATTAGTAAGTATAATATAAAGAATATAAAAAACTATAAATTAACTATTTAGAAATCCTAATATAACTCTAAAAAGATAGTATTATATTATTATACTGGATTAGAATACTCTAAGAGTACTCTATTAAGTATATTAATAAAAATATTTTAAAAATTTAGTTTATTAAATAGACTTTTAGTCTTCTAAAATCAAGTTATTTAAACAAAACATATTTCTTAATTATAAAATTATATTTATTTAATAGAATATAGTAATTTAAAAGCTATAAATATAACTAGCAGAACTTTAAGATTAATTAAACTTAGATAAAAAAACTATAATTCTAAGTATTATTAAACCCAAGTCGCAGAAACTGTCGAATCCGATCTATTCAAAAAAAATAGATTATAAGATTATATAATAAAGCCCGATCTGCCCAGGTCTTATAGATTCTAAAAATAAAAATAGAAGTAATTAAAGTTAAGATTCTAGATAGTAAAAAAGTTGTTTTATATCTATCTATATTTCTATTTTCTATTTAATATATTATAGTTTATTAATAGCCTATACTCTATAGTAAATAATAAAAAGTATATTCTAATATAAATATTTAGAACAGTAAGATTTCGAAGCTATTTATCTTTTAAAACTAGTAGTTTATTTATAAACAGTTAGCTAGTTATTTATATTATAAAAGATAAGACTTATTATTATTAAATATAAATCTTTTTAGATCTTAAGATTTAAGTAATAAAATAACTATAATAAAATACTAAAAAGCTTTTTAACTATATATAATAAATTAGAATATTATTAGAATTAGAATAATATAGTATATTAAAGTTGCTAAAATCCCTTGGGTAATAACAGCATAGATCCGAATAATATATTTTAGTAATAAATTTAGTTTAATTTACAAATAAAATATTAGAAGTAAAATTAAAGTATATTTAAAATATTTTTAATAAAACTAAGTTTTATTAGCTTTATATTATAAGACTAGTAGAAGTAAAATAAGTACTTATCTAAATTAAAATAATATCTATATCTAAAAATATTTAAATACTAGCAGACAAGGCTAATAAGTAGGTCTAGTAATTTTTTAAAGTACTATAAAGTATTTCTTTATATTTTTTAGATTTAAAATCCAAAGTATAAAGTTTTAAAGACGGAGACTAAGACTCTTCTAATTTAAATAAAAAATATTATATAGTTAACTAAAAATAAGATCTAATAATAATATAAGTAATTCGAGTAGTAATAAATAAGATAATAGATTCTTTAAATTAAAAAACTAAATCTGCTTAATAGGTAAAAAAAGACTCTTTGTATATTTTTAGAATAATTTAATCTTAAAGTAATACCGACCGTATAAAAGAAAGTCAAACTTTAAGTTATATCTATTATTTTTTAAATAATAATAGATATAATATCCAAACTTAGTACTATAGCTTTAAGTACTAGAATTTTTTACTTATTAAAGCATATTGCTGGTAAATATAATAATAAATATAATAATAACTATATATATTTTATAAAAATATATATAAAATTCTTAAAAAAAAGTTCAGATTTTTTTTTAAAATATTTGAATACTATCTTCTATTTTTATACTATAAAAACCCAGTATCAGAGTAAAAAAATTATTTAAATAATATTATTTCCAATAAGTTAATTCTATTAAAATAAGATAAAAAGTTTTTAAAGCTTTATATATATTTTAATATACTCTAAAGTTATTAATAAATAGTAGAAATAGAATTAACCGGATATTAGACTGCTTAAATAACTACTAGAAATAGCTATATTTATAATATTTAATCTTTAATT